CAGTGAAGTCAGAAGACTGATGCCTCCCAGTTTGTTCTTTTATTTAAGATTGCTTTGGCTATATGAGTTTTTTCTGGTGTCCATACAAAGTGAAGAATATTTTTTCTAGATCTGAAAGAATGCTGATGGTATTTTGATGGGATTGCATTGATTCTGTATCACTTTAGTATAATTGACATTTTACTATATTGATTCTACCAATCCATGAACAAGGTAGATTTTCCCATCTGTTTAAATCTTCTGCAATTTCTAGAAGCTTTTTAATTTGATCAGGTCCCATTTATTTATTTTTTGTTGTTGCTGTGATTGCCTTTGGGGTCTTCTTCATAAATTCTTTGCCTAGGCCAATTTCTATAAGAGTTTTTCCAACATTTTCTTCTAGAATTCTCATCGTGTCCTGCCTTAGGTTTAAGTCGGTTATCCACTATGAGTTGATTTTTGTGAGATGTGAAAGATGTGGGTCCTGTTTGAGTCTTCTACATGTGGCTATCCAATTTTTCCAGAACCATTTATTGAACAAGTATTCTTTTCCCCAGCATATGTTTTCGTCTGATTGTCAAAGATTAGATGGCTATGTGAAGGTGGTTTTATATCTGGGTTCTCAGTTCTGTTCCATTGATCTACGTCTCTGTTCTTGTGCCAGTACCATGCTGTTTTAGTTACTATAGCCTTGTAGTATAGTTTGAAGTCTGATAAATTGATGCCTCCCAATTTGTTCTTTTTGCTTAAGACTTTTGCTTAAGGCTTTTGCAATACAGGGTCTTCCCTAGTTCTATACAAAGGATAGAATTATTTTTTTCTAGATCTGTGAAAAATGATGTTGGTATTTTAATAGGCATTGCATTGAATATGTAGATCACTTTGGGTAATACAGACATTTTAACAATGCTGATTCTGCTGACCCATGAGCATGGTATGGTTTTCTACATGTTTATGTCCTCTGCTATTTCATAGTTCTCCCTGTAGAGGCCTTTTACCTCCTTAGTTCAATGTATTCCTAGGTATTTTATTTTCTTTGTTGCTATTGTGGGGATATTGAGTCTTTGATTTGGTTCTCAGTTTGACTGCTGTTGGCATATAGGAATGCTACTGATTTATGTGCATTGATTTTGTAACATGAGACTTTGCTGAATTTGTTTATCAATCTCAGTAGTCCTTTGGCAGAATCTTTGGGGTTTTCTAGATATAAAATCATATCATCAGCAAAAAGTGATAGTTTCACCTCTTCCACCCCCATTTGGATACCCTTGATTTCTTTCCTTCTCTTGTCTAATTGCTGTAGCAAGGACTTCCAGCACTAAGTAGAATAGAAGCAGTGATACAGGGCAACCTTATCTGGTTCCAGTTCTAAGTGGAAATGCTTTCAATTTTTCCCCATTCAGTATGATGTTGACTGTGGGTTTGTCATATATGGTTTTTATCTTGTTTAGGTAAGTCCCATCTATGCCTATTTTGTCAAGTATCCTCATCACAAAAGGGTTCTGAATTTTGTTGAATGCTTTTTTTTTTCATCTGTTGAGAGTATCATGTGGTCTTTATTTTGCTTCTCTTTATGTGTTGAATCACATTTATAGATTTGCATATGTTGAACCATCCCTGCATCTCTGGGATGAAGCCCACTTGGTCATGATGGATTATTTTTTTGATAAGCACCTAAATTTGGTTTGCTAGGATTTTGTTGAGAATTTTTGCATCTATATTCACAAGGGATATTGGTCTGTAATTTTATTTTTTTGTTGTATCCTTCCCTGGTTTTGGTATCAGGTTGATTTTGACTTCATAAAACATCGTTGGGGAGGATTTCTTCCTTCTCAGTTTTGTGGAATAATTTCTGCAGGATAGGTGCCAGTTCTTCTTGGTCTGGTAAAATTTGAGTGTGAAACCATCTGGTCCGGGACTATTCCTTTTAGGAAGGGTTTTTATTGCTGCTTCAATTTCAGTATTTGATGTTGGTCTGTTCAGGAATTCTATTTCTTCCTGATTGAGCCTAGGGGTAACTTTGGTTTAGTATGTGTTCATTTGATTGACACACAATTTTTTTCAGAACACAAAGAACCGAAAATATCTAGGGTTGCTGCTATTTGCTTACATTGTGTAACAAACCCAATGTTAAACATGACCCTTGAAACTGTCCTCACATCTTTCCCAGTCAGATACTTTGATTATATAATAAATAACACTACAATACCACTCTGCAGAAACAGAGTTTAAATATGGATTTGGCTCCATCAAATATTTTTTTCACATAGAACTTAAAATCCCCTTCAAAAGAAATACCCACTCAAAAATATGTAGAAAACTCCAAGAAGTGACATAACTCTAAAGCCATTATGGTCTCAGCAATCACTTTAAATCATGATAGTTTTTGTTTTTCTCTCATTCTTTGTCCTCTGTTCCTTCTGCCTTTCTTGATCTGAAAATTAATGACAGAGAGGAGCCAAAAAATCAGAACATACTTCAAAATTGAAAGCAACAAGCCCATTCACTGAAGTAGATCATTTGGAATTAGAAATAAAATTCATTTTTGAAAAAGAGAATCCTGAAAGTGCTTTCGAGTACAAAGTCAACCTTTACAAATTTATTCCATCAGAAATAGCTTTCTAAGAATGTAAGCCCCAAACCTACTTGGATTCATATTTAGGATAGCTAAAAAGCCCAAAAGAAGTTAATCCAATCATCATAATGACCCTAATTTGATAAAAGGGGGTCCATATCAAATCTGACTTTAAGCATGGAAGGGACCTTTAAAAGCATCTATCTACAGAAGGAAAGGGAGGCTCTTTACCACACAGCTAGACAATGATGGGACTAGGGCTAGAATGAAGGTCTCTGCCTCTAGACCCGGAACTTGTTTCCACTATGCCCTTGATCTTGATATATATAGGGTGACAGACTAGCCAGACACAGCACTTCCTAGTCACTTCTAACTCCCATGACCAACATCCACCCATCCCAAAAAAGAACAAGGAAAAAAATAGGGAACTCAGTCCATTGCTTTGAGATGGGTTCTAGATTTGTTGTTGTGTTATTGTCTTTGTTGTGTTTGTTATTTTTTTCTCTGTATACAAAAAAGTGAGCACATCATTAAAACTCAGGATTTGTGAGAACAGGGACCACAGCTAACTTATTCTCATTCTATTGCCAGCACTTATGTGGTCATAAATTTGGGTGTGCTTTTTGTTTTGTTTTCATTTAGTTTGGTTTGTTTTTTTGCTGCCCACTATTCAAATATCTTTCTGATTTTGAGGTTAGTCCTTAAAGTGTGCAGTAGAGGTAGAATGCAGCACCCCCTTTCTCACTCCCTGGTGGTTAGAAACCTAGTATATTTCCTGGGAGAGTTCATCCCCAATTGGTTCTTGTAGATTTGACTCAGAAACATAGTGATAGCATGGAAGTTACTATTGGTAACAGCAACAGAGACAACAGTGTTAGCAAAACCTTCCTAAGCAGTCTATTGTATGGCACGACCTTCATTCTGTTCCTGCTCCTACCCTCCCTTGGTTCCTGCTTAACTATCCTGCCTTTCTATCACTTCTGTGAGCTATTTAATTTCTCCCATAGACATTCTTTTCCACTTAAATTAGTCTAAGGCAGCTTCTTGTTGCTTGCAACCAAAATCTCTAGTAGGCACTCAAATATTTCTTAAATGAAAAAATAAATTAATGAATTAATTGACTGTCATCATAATTTTTTACATAACTTTACAATTTCCAAGTACTCTTCCATATCCTAATCATTGCACCTGGTTACTGACTCATTTATGTTCCAGTTAAGTTACAATATTTAACAAAGGTAAGTCTTTCTTGATGCAAGAGTCAGTAAAAAAAAAAATAAATCTAAACATAACATGCTATGAGATCTCACTGTTTTACTCACCACTATGAATGGCTTCATTTGAGTAATATGGAAACCCTAAAAAGAAATTTAGAACATGAGACAGGGAGTAAGAGCTGGAAAGTATGAAGCATGAAAGTTAAAAAAATTTTCGAAGGAAATGTGCTATGCACTGAAGAGGTCTAGAAAGGGGAACCGAAACTTCAGATAGGAGCTGGCATTTACCAGGTGCGCTGAAGGCGGAAATGGTTCATGCACTGAGGGAACAGCATCTGCAAAGGCAAAAATTACGTCCCTTCAAAATATAAAAATCTTTGCTTTAATCATATGGATCTATCTAGCCAAGGGGGGGGGAGGCATGTGCCTTGTGAATTCTTAAAAATTCCCTCCATATATCCCACCTCTACTTTACTAGACATTGAAGTCAACCATAATTCAAAAATTAAATGGGGAATGGTATGAACTTTTTACATTTATAATTACAAATGGTGTTTCGAAACTTGATGTTTCAGAATTGCCCCAAGAATTCCATGATCTCGTCACCACTTTATGTTGATGAGGAAAAGAATTTGACATAGCACATCTTATTTGGTTTATGTGAACACAGACAACTTTCCCCAGTCTGATAGTTGGAAAATCGTCACAAAATCCAGTAAACCATCTCAGTAAGCAAGAGAGGTGAGGACATTTTGTGCTCAGTGACCTATGTATACTGAGCCCCGTGGACTACATAGCAGGCGATGCGGTGCTCAGATCCCTTTATCGCTGTCTGTATCTGATCTCCAAGGAGCCAGTGCACAACTCTTTCCAGGAAAAGTCTGAAGAACACATTTCACCAACAAAAGAAGATAGTCCACACTTAAGAGTGGTTTCAAAAAGAGAGAAAGAAAGGAAACACTGAAGATGAAGTGTTTAAACCTTTTACGTTTTTGCTCTACCCGGTCTACGTATTTCCTAAATAATTTGTGATTCCTTTAAAATGTATTAATCGTGTAAAATTGTCAAATTGTAATGAAAAGCCATATGGCTTTAAGATGACCAACGAAGAGGACACAAAATGTACATACCAAAAGACTACCCAGTGCTTTTCTGATATAGATACCAAAAACAGAAAAGAAAAGGGAAAAAAAGGGGGTTTCCGTACACTGTCTGAATACATCACTTACTTCCTTTTTTTGTGTCAGTTGCGAGGCATGAACTAAAGTGGCTTCTTTAGGGTGTATGCGCCTCACGACTGGGCCATCTCCTCGTTCTGAGGACAAGGCTGCTGCGCCCCAGAACCAACCTTCCTGACTGGGGTTGGGGCCGAGGAGGGGTCGCGCGGCCCACCGCCCTCGGGGCTCTCCAGGCTCCAGGACTTGTTGCTCGGCGGGAGCTCGCGCGATCGGCCGACGGGCGCGCCCTGCCCACGAGCAGCGCGGGGAGCCGGGCCGGGCCGGCCTCTGCGTTCGGCGGGGAGCGCGGCCCCGCGAGCCGCTAACCTTCGCCCGCCCGGCCTGGAGCGCGGCCGCGGCCTCCCCGAGCCAGGCGCCCGGTTCGGCGGGGACCGGAAGCGCCCGCAGCCCGCCCTTCCGCCTGCAGCTCGCGGGCGCGGGCCGGGGGCGCTCCGGGGGCCGCCCCTTCCCGGCTGGCCCCGAGGGAGCGTCTCTCCGCCCTCCCGCGCTCCGTCTCCGGTGCCCCTCGGTCTCCGGCCCAGCGCGGCAGAGCAGGCCCGAGGCGGAGGTTCGGCCCGCGGCCCCACGAGCTCGCACCCCGGTTCCAAGGCCGGCCCCGCCGGGCCTAGTGCGAAGAGGCGCCCGGGCCTCGGCCGCAGGAGCCCGCCCGGCGCCAGGCCGGGGCTGGGCGGGGGCGCCCGGCCGAGGGCACCCGAGGGCCGGGGCCGACTCCCTCCCTTCCCGGCGCCCGCGGCCTCCCAGCCCCCACTCGGCCCCGGAATCAATAGTGGCCGCTGATTTTTCACGACAATTGCAGCTGTCTAATTCATCAGTGAATAATTAAATCAGAGGCAGCCAGGCCTGCCTGGTGTCGGAGACTAGGGTCCCCCTCGCAGATCCCACCAAACTGGGGGCCAGGGGGCGCGGGGAAGGCGGAGCAGGGACAGGCTTCGCCCTGCGCAGAGGCCGGGAGAGCGGCCTGGCCCCGGCGCGGTTCCCCACCGCGGGGGCGGGCGGCCGGGTATGAGCAGTCGGTGGGGCCGGCAGAGGGGGCCGGGCAGGGCGCCCCGCGCCGGGTCAGCGCGTCCCTCCACTGCGGGGCAGAGCCCCATCCCGCGCCCCCGCACCGGGAGCCTCGCGTGGGGCCGCGGGCCGCCCTCCTCACGCACACTTGGCGAAGGGAGAGGAACCCCACCCTCGGAGGCGATTTGCCTTTGAGGAAGATGGAGAGGAGCAGAGAGAAGCGCCTAGAAACCGCATTGATTTAGACATCAATCCTGGCCGGCTCCCTCCGCCTCTGGAGCCGCGGGGCCGCGCCCCCCTCCCCGGGAAGCGGCTCGGCGCCCGGGCCGCCGGGCCCAGCGGAGCCGGAGAGGGGAGCGGCCCGCAGCTTCCCGCGCGGCGGCCTCGACGCGACCCCGGCCGCCCCGCAGGCCCCGCACGGCGCCGGACCGCGCAGGCACGACGCCTGGAGGCCAACAGGTCGCCCACGGCCCTCGGTGTCGCTCTCCCACCCGGGGCGGCAGGGCGCCCTCCGAGCTCGGGTTCTGCAGGGGCCGCCAAACCAACTGCGCCCCGCTGGGGCGCCGGTTCGCGCGGGCCGCGGGGAGTGAGCCCGGCTCGGGCAGCGACCACGGCCCCCGCGGCTACGAAGCGGCCCCCTCCAAATCCCGCGGCCCGCCAAAGTGGCTTCCTCGTACACGTTTGCAAACAAAACAATTCAAAATCCCTACGGTGACATAGAGGCGATTTTCCAAAAAATAAAATGCTCGTAAAATAATCTGAATGTGTACTACTACTTTTTTTTTTGATACTACTACTTTTGATCGTCTTATCCTGAAAGATCAGCTCAGATTCACTTGGTTCTTTAATTTTAGAGGGAACTGATATTCGAGGAATCTAAAAAAGATATCGCACGTGCTTTAAAAAAAAAACTCTGATTATCATAAATATTTTTAAACCGTCCCCGTTGGCTTTGTTAGCTTTCAAATAGAAACATTTCCTTTTGAAATCGGAAATAATATCTCTCAACTTTAAAATCTGGACAGCTATCTTTTAATACTCTGTATTAAATTGTTTTCCATAGTAGCTAGACAATTGAAACTAAACGCAAAGATTTTTAAACTGACCCATTTTCACTGGGAGGGGACGTAGTAGATATTTGTACTAACTTTTAAACCAATATTGAATCCTCAAGCAGAAATTATGATTTCCAGAGAAAATAAACTATATTTTTACGAGAGCAATAAATAAAAAGTAAGCCTGTGCTTAGTGTCTCGGGGCAACTTGAAAACAGCTCCACTTTCAGGGAGTTAAATTTGTCCTTTTTACGATCAACTGCAACTTTTGCCTTCTTTTGGAAAGAACGACAAAAAGATTTCACGCACAACTTGACCTGAACAAAGGGACATCACGCCGGTTTTTCTTTTGTGGGGTGACAACTGGAGGAGAAGAAAACTTTATTTTAAGCACACTTGAGTTGTACTTTTGGAAACCCCCTTGAAAGAGAAAATCTGAAACAAATACACTTGACTCAAAAATCGACGCTGTGTGTGGGGCTGTGGGAGACAGGGCACAAATAGTGAGAAGGGAACTGAAAGTCGGCCGGGAGAAAATTCTTCTTCATTCTCAGGCTAACAAGTTGCTTATTTAAAATTCAACGTTCTTTGAGAGAGAGAGAGAGAGAAAAAAAAGTATCGGTTCTTTTAAGAGCCAGCACGTGCTCCCTCTTCCTCTTCCCCAAAAGAAGCCCTTGAGTATTCGCAGGTTCGAATCCCCAACTTCTTTCCCTTTTTAAAATAACATTTTCCCCAAAGAGGAAAATGATTGCCCCCAACAGCTTCTCCAGTGTTAGCAGCCACGAAAACAAAACGGATGGGTGGGGAAGTTATCGAAAGGGTCTGCGGTGGGCCCCAAACTCGGCGGAGAGGAAAGTGCCCAGGCAGGACCCGCAGTCCCAGCACCCAGTCCCGGGAACCGCCACCGCCGGTCGGGACCGGAGGCCCCAGGCACCCACCCCCACCCAAACCCCTCACGCGAGGGGGCCGGGGGACCCAGAGAGGGCAGAGAGGGGGCGAACCAAAGAAATGTACGTGTGTGTGTATGTGTGTGTCGGAGATGCAAGCGGTCTCCGAGGACACAAAACTCCAACAGTCCCCTGTCTCCGGGGGCAGAGGAGGGCGATCAAGGTCGGCAGCCCTGGTCCCTCGCTTTCTTTAAAACTAGGCAAGTGGACGCTCTAGGAGCTGAGTTGCCCGAGCTCGGGATTCGGGCTGCGGCTGCCCCTTCAGACCTACCGCCCCCGGAGCAGGTGCCAACGCGCTTCGAGGTGGGATCGCCTTTCCTCCCCCTCCCTGGAGCCAGGTCGCTCCCTGCGTCCGGAGTACTGAGGCCATGGTGGGGTTTGCTTCCCACAGCCTTGCCCCCCACCTTCGAACGCAGGCGCTGGGATCTGGGCTCTGCAAGAACCTCCCCCCAGCTCGCAGGGCTCCAGGAGCTGCATTTTTTTCTTTTCCTGAGAGGCCAGATGAGGGTGAGCACAAGACTAACAACGCCATCTCTCTCTCCACCTGCACACAAAGTAAATTTTGTCAACCAAAAAGTTAGGGGCAGTCCCTGCAAGCTCTGCTAACCCGCCTGGCGTGTGGAATTTTAACCAGATCGACGGAGAAAGGGAAGGAAAAGAAAAAGGACCCGTTCAGCCTCACCGCCCAGAAAACTTTTTTCAAAAAACTTTTCTAGACCCGAGTGGGGACCTGGCGAGTGTCGGTGAATCTCTGAGCTGAGAGGCCGACGACAGTTAGTGGGGCTGGGCGTCGGTTTTTAAGTTTTCTTCTCCCTGTGCTCAATCAGCGCGAGCTTTCAGACAGAAGAAAATTAAAGCTAATGGAGATATCAAACAGAGCCACAATTCCGAAGGCTCCTTTTCCGCCACAAGCACCCACCGCCCATCTGCACGTGTAATCACAGAGATTTGCGGCGTCTTCATCACCAGCGACCCCGAGGAAAGGGGAGAAAATTCTCGTGAAAAAGAGCCCCACATAATCACTACCATTATTTGTGTATAGCAACATAAGAATTTCTTTCTCATCTTAAAATTCCCCCACAATATTGAAGCAGCATTTGTTGTCCGATTCATGCAAACGCTTGAGGCCTTTCTGGAAAACCATTACCATTCAATGGCTAGAAAATTGCTCTCCTTCCTTTAAAAAAAAAAAAAAAAAAAGGCCAGCGCAGCAGCAGCTACAACAGACAACAAAAACTTTCTCCCACATAATCCTCGCTCGCGGAATGACAAAGAAATGATATTGACTTACCCCCGAACGGATGATATGTTTGATAAGGGGGGAGGTTTTTTTTTTGTTTTTTTTTTTGAAGATTTCTGTTCGGGAGCCGTACAGACAGCTGCAATTCATGGGCGACGCTGATTGCCAGAAACGCTATGGATTGGCATGGGGTCTGCAGCTCACAGATCCTGATCAATACCCCTACACTCACACGCCAGATGGTTTGGGGAAGGACAAAAATAAAATAGTCCAAATCAACCCACCATTATGTCTTTTTGTATTGCTCTGATAAACCTAGTCATAGCACAAATGCGTTCTGCCCAACACAAAACCTGGAGAGATTTTGAGCGCTGGGGTAGAAATGAGCAGCCCCCCTCTTCCCTAGATTTGGGTTGTGATTGTTGTTGTTTAGTGAAAACAAAGCTGTTGGGCCCCTTATCCAGATTGGCTTTACTTGTGGTCTGTTTATTTTTTCGTGAATAATTTATAAAGTCTCTGTTTTAATTGAATAATGCTCTCTCTCTGCCTAAAAACAATTTTAATGTGATAAACACTTAGGAAAATTTCTGACAGTAAATATTTTCAGTCTTTTCCTGCAATTGCTAACTCAAGTTCAGTACTTTTTCTTTTATATTGCAATAGCCTTCGTTTGCTGTCGAAGATGCATTTTATTTTCATGCTTTTTTTTTTTTTTTACCTATTGAAGTTTCTGGTCTTAAAGAAAAGAGGACCTGCAGATGTGCTATGCTAAGAAGTGTATATGCTGGTACTGATATAATGCTTGTACACTGTCCAGATTCTAATAGTCATGAACTAGCACTTAGGATACCACATTTCTATACAGTCTCTTTGTAAATCAAATGTTGAGGGGGGATGGGCAGAGAATAGAGGTGTAACTTCAGATTTTAAAAAATCTGAGTTGCAGAACTTCTGCAGGTTAAAGTATGGATGCTAAACAAGGGGCAGTTAAAAAGCAACATTTCCCTTTTATTT